TTCCTGTCGTCTAAATAAACCTTCTGCTTTACTGGCTGGCTGAGAGTCATGGTGAATCGCAGGAAGCCGGGGGTGCAGGGCCCTGAGTTCCCCAATACTCCGTGACAGGGCCCCACCCTCAGGCCAGGCCCCCCAGCTGTGGCTCCCTCCCCTGCCGCCCACGGCGACGGCCCTGCCACCGCTGGGTGGGTACCACGGGCACCCGCCCCAGAGCCCGCAGTTAACGGTGCGCAGCAGAGCCTGAGCGGCAAAGCTTTCCTGCCCCCCCGGTGCCCTCGCATCCAGGCACCAGTGCGAGTCCTGCCCCCCGCCCCCGGGGCACCACCAAGGGAGTTTCGCTCTGCGGCCCACGAGGATCCTGGCAGCGCGTGGCACAACCTCGGGGGGGGGGGGGGCGTTGTTCTGATTGTAAACTGGTGAGAGAAAATCAATCAATAAATAACCATCCCCCCATGGCATGGCTGGGTCCTGTGCGGAGCGGGGCTGATGCCCGCAGGACAGTGGGGCGGGGGGCACTCAGCACAGGGCGCAATGGGGTTGGTGCCCCCCAAGGGACTCCTGGCTTCTCTCCTCAGGGAGGGGATGGGGGGGCAGTGGGTTAGAGGGGAAGCAATTGGGGGAGGGACTACCAGCCTAACTGACTACCAGCCTACCAGCCCCTTGGGACCCCCCACCTCCAGGTCACCGTAACTGGGGTGATCCCCTCCCCCGCGGCGAATCACAGCACAGAGACGGGGGGGCTCCCTGGGCAGACGGCCATTTACTGCCCGGCCCCGGGCTCGAGAGTCCAGACAGACGGTGCCCTGGGCATGCACAGACCTGGCAGGGCAGAGGGCGCCGGGCACAGGCTGGCTCAGAGGGGCGGGGAATAGGGCACGGGGCCTTTTCCCTTAGGGGCACCGGCGCCCATGCAGCTGCCCTGAGTAGGGCCCAAGGGAGGGTCTCTATTGTCTGAAGCCTGGGGGTGGGACGGGGCCCCAGGGCCATTGTCCTTGGCTGGTGCTGATTCCAGTCTGTACCAGGCGGTGGCCCTGGTCCTGGCAGGGGTTCAGTGCCCAGGCGCGTCCGGGGGCTCAGTTGGCGCCGGGGGCCGGGAAGATGCGCTGGAACTCGGAGAGCAGCAGCTCCACGGCCTGGTTCTGGTGGACCATGTCCACGGCCATGCTGGCCAGCTCCTTCTCCGGCCGCAGCAGTGTGGGGCCGAAGACGATGCCGATGTTCTGCCGGGTCATGCGGTTAGCGTCGGCGTGCTCCATCACCCTGGGGGGCGGCAGAGAGGAGCCTGACCTGCTGCCCCCCCACGGCCACCGGGCCCCCCG